TAGGATTACAGGTATGAGCCACTGAGGGCCTGGCTGTGCAATTTCTATGTCATCCTCACTTGCTTTCACTTCATGCACTTTTATGCTGGTCAATATCTTTTGGAAAATTTGTTTCTGGGTCAGGTTCATTATAGGTTGCCACCTCAAAATCCATTGCAACAAAACCTTTAAAATCTTTTAATTCTGCTATGGAAGATGGACTATTTATGCTCTTGGGTTGTGACAAACCAACTTTCTTGAAACACTTTTGTTTCATTTCTGGCTGAACTTTATTCCCAGAAGAATTGATCTAGAGGACAGCAACCAGAGTGTTAACTAATGCAGAGGATCACAGATGGACCACAGGTTAGTAACGACCCACTGCAGGAGCTGGGCTCAGAGTGCATATTAAAAAATGTTTTGATGATGGCTTGGATTTTTGAGGTTGTGTTTGGAGGCAGAAATTTCAGTGTCATGTTTGTGAGAAGATTCACTGTGGTGGCCAGAACAGTTGTTTGTGATCAGTAGAACAGACCATTTCTTTCTCATTTCTCAGCTGATGCCATTTACCCATCCCTCAAATAGGGTACCAATCATCCATGCAAATTTGTTTGATCTCCAAGTGATGGGGCGGTCTTTGGGCTCTAGATCCTTAAATGCATGTGACTTTGCTAATTTACCAATCACCAAGGGCATTAGTTTCTGTGTGGCTGAGCTAGCACAAAGAACTGTGAAACATTCTTTGGAAAGTTTTCTGCCCTTACATTTGTTGCCCTTCATGATGAGGCTCCTGTTAGGCACTTCCTTAAAAAAGAGTTCACACTTGTCAACTTTAAAGATGTTGTCATGAGTGAGTCCTGTGGCTCAGTGAGTAGGGCGCCGGCCCCATATGCTGAGGGTGGCAGGTTCAAACCCTGCCCCGGCCAAACTGCAACAACAAAAAAATAGCCGGGCGTTGTGGTGGGTGCCTGTAATCCCAGCTACTCGGGAGGCTGAGGCAAGAGAATTGCCTAAGCCCAGGAGTTGGAGGTTGCTGTGAGCTGGGTGATGCCACGGCACTCCACAAGGGCGATAAAGTGAGACTCTGTCTCTACAAAAAGAAAGAAAGAAACAAAGATGTCACTTTTGAAGCCTCTGGCAAAGTCAGGGAACTTTTTGATGAACTATTCCAGAATTTGTACTAGAACTTCATTGGATTTACCACACAAGACTTTCTCGGAGATCTCATGTCACAGTTTAAAATTTCTTGAGGCAATTACTTGATGCTCTGAAATCTGCCACCCTGAACTTCCGTGTGAATATTTTAGCAATGTCTTGGATCATGGCCCAGAGATTTGAGCATTAACTGCCCTCATTTGTTTTAACCAGCTTTTACTGTGGCTTCATTGACTTCATCTAGGGGAATTTTCCTCCTTTTCCTCTGTAGGTCTCCACTTTCCTTACTGTAGCTCTCCAAATACTCATGTTTACATTTTTGGATGTTACTAACACCAAAATGTTCTGGTGTCTTTCTTTGGCTGCTGCTTTCCAGAAAATGTAGAAGATCAACCTTTTCCTTCAATGTCAACTCTTTGAGTTCTTTCCTTTGGACTATCATGTCTTGATCAATAGTAAAATTTTTCAGTACCTGTAGAATATACCTTCACATTGAAAAATCTTCCACAGCACGTGACAAACAGTAGGATGTTAGGTCTAATTTAACATTGGTAATAATAAAACCTGAAGAAAGAATTTATATTAAAGAAAAAATAATACAACTCAAAGGCAAAGTCCATAACTTCTACCCCCTTGGTTTGGAGTGGACTCAACTGGTCAA